AGACTGGGGTGTAGCTGACATGCTATCAGAAGCACAGCATTGCAGTTAACATGAAAAGCAACTTAATACAAGTCATGAGCCTGGGGCTTATTGAATGTACCAGATTATCACACACAGAGATGCAGTGCTTGCCTGCAAAATGATTTTCTAGGGAAGTCATTGATAAAGTGTTTCTAGCATTCTTCTTCCACGTATAAGCAGCTGTCAGAGCCCTGCTGGGACGATTACAGTCTCTCCCCCCCCCCATACTTTGTTTCTTGGGCCCCTGGCTCGCAGTCATAGGGGTCGGTTGTGGTCTGGCCACCTGTTCTGCAGTACACCAGTTAGAGAGAAGTAGCATTGAAAAGCAGAGGTTTAACTACATGTGCACACCAGTATATGGAACAGATATAGGGGTCCAGTGGCCTCAGTTCCTCTGTGGGGTGCTGATATGAGCTTTAGGTATAGATAGAGGAAGAATTGGGGCAGGGTCAAGCAGTATGCATATATTAAGTAGCATTGGTCAAGGTCTACTGTGGTTGATTATCACCCCCTTCCTCTTGGCTTCTTGATAAGTCCAACCTTGTCTTCAAAATCTAGTATATCTTAGGAAATCCTTTCAGGACATCATTGCTGACTTTCTTATTGAGGATGACTTTGGTGGTTTTAGGGTTCTATATGTGTCTTTGCTACCGGAATTCAAGTGTGCATCTACTCATTTGAGCATTCACTTAGTACCTACCATTCATTCACAAAGGATTCTACCCACTTCCCTAAGCAGGAACTATAGGAGCTGAGGCCAAGCACTAAAGGCTAAGGGCAAACCCAAGCCAGCCAGTGTCTGCCCTGGTTTCGCTAAGGGAAGGGAGCGCAGCTTACTTCACAGATAATGACACAAGACCACGGGAAGGGGAAGGAAGGGGAGACAGATGATGAGAGCTAGGAGTATGATTCCTGTGCAGGTGGGGAAGAGTAAAGAGCATGGGGAAAAGAGTCAGCTGAGTAAGACTCGGTCAGAGGACGTGTCTAGGGAAAGCAGAGGAACAGTGGGGACAGTACTGAGGTGGAACTGAACTCACAGCCATGACAACATGGAAGTACAGCTCTGGGGCCTCTGCAGGGCTCGGCGTTCCAATAATGCTTCGGCTTTTTACAAGTGCAAAGATTGAATCCAAGGTGTGATGTAATCACAGGTGTTCCAAGAAGGGTTTGCCCTCAGGTGGCATGGGCACCAGAGAAGGCTACTTTGGGAGTCGGGCATAAGTTAGAATGTGCCATGGCATTTATATAAGAAACATGAGTCTGTTTGATTTGGGACATTAAGGGCCTTTGGTAGAAAACTGAGTTCTCTCTCTCTCTCTCTCTCTCTCTCTCTCTCTCTCTCTCTCTCTCTCTCTCTCTCTCAAACATACCTTTGTATAATATAACAATAGTGGCAGATACTGTGGCCTTACATAGACCTAGGTTTAACCTGGCTTTACTTCATAGTGACATTGTGACTTGGGACACGTAACACAACCCTCTTAAATGTCAGTTCTATTGCTGGAATATTAATATTATGGGAATGTTAATGATGAGAATATTAATACTATGGATATCATGAATTGTTTGGAGGGCTCAGAAGGTAACTGTAGTCAACTATTTAGTATCACACTGGCCAAACTGTAAACACTGAGTGAATATTAGCCACCATCATCTTCATCATGAATGATGTGGTAACTTGAAAAAAATGGCCCCCACAGGCCCATAGGGAGTGGCACTATTAAAGGGTGTGGCCTTGTTGGAGTAGGTGTGGTGTTGTTGGAGAAAATGTGTCTCCGTCTTTTCCTATTGCCTGCTGATCCAGATGTTTCGATAATGAACTAAACCTCTGAACTGTAAGCCAGCCCCAATTAATGTTTTCCTTTGTAAGAGTTGTTGTGGTCACAGTGTCTCTTCACAGCAATAAAAACACTGATTGAGACAATAGATATATGGTCATCAATACTTCTAATTCTTATAAATAATATTAGTTCATATCTTAAACACTCAACATGATCTTTCCTCATGGACCCATTGGGGTAGTCTCTGTAGTGTTCTGGATACCTCACTCAGTGCCTGAGTTAAGAAGATACTAAAAACAAAATTTTGAATAAACAAAAAATATGATACTGTAAGGTAAAGATAATGTGATATTAAACAATGTGTTTAAGAAAGGAAAGGAACCAAGTATTCTTCTTTATCCCAGGCATTTTTGTTTATCACATTACCTAAATTTATTGCCAGGAAAGTAGACAAATGTCCAGTTTTCATAAACTGCTGCCTGTGGGATCAAATGGGAAGTCCCACTGGAACTCTTAAAATGGACTTCCTCTTCATGCACCAAGAAGCAGATGAACTGTTGGTGGGAACAGGGACAATGGCTTTTAAATTAAGGCAAAATATCCGTAGTGCCTTTCTCCAGAAATGACAAGGACAGAAATGGAGACCATGATGTCACAGACCTGACACTGATTGACAAGGCCACAGGCAAGAGTTTGACATACCTTTCAAGGGAAGGTTATGTATAAAACTGTGTTCTAACATCTGTTGGGTGAAAGGTGAGCAACAGCTGTATGGATACACAGGTCGTTTTCAGCATCCGGTGTTAAAAGAAGAAAATGTGTTTTCATTGTGTATCACTACCTTCTTCTAAATAGGACGGGTCTCGGTGGCTTGGGAGAAGTTTTCATACCAGGCTGGGCTGTGGCTAGGTAGGGTAGTTTCAATATAAATGTGGAGTGAGGTAGAAGAGTCTCATTTTATACCAGAGAGGACTTTGGATGGCCATACAGAAACGGAAGAAGAGTCTAGGGGTGTGGCTTAGTTGGCAGATTGTTTGCCTGGCATGGAAGAAGTCTTGGCACCTCTCTAGTACTAGAATCTCTAGTACTAACACACCAGGAATGGTGGTGCATGCTTGTAGTCCCAGCACCCAGGAGGTGAAGCAGGAGGATTGGAAATTCAAGGTTACCAGGTTAAAAGCCAGCTTGGGATACAAAGGACCCTGTCTCAATGAGTGTGTGTGTGTGTGTGTGTGTGTGTGTGTGTGTGTGTGTGTGTGTGTGTGCATGTGCGCGCGTACACGTGCATGTATGACAAAAAAGGAAAAAGAACATCAGAAATAGTAAAAAGGGAGAAGGTGGGGCATCCCCATCAGCCCCCACTGTGACGAATCCGCAGCACAACAAAGATGCGTAAGGAAGATTTCAATTTGCTGTTGGCTGGGCCAATGTAAACCCTCTGTTGGCCCCCATGTAATCTCCCTAAATTACATATTGCTCATGAGTGCTTTTGTGTGAATGGATTATTTTAGCAGAGAGCACGAACTGAAAGAAACCGGAAAGATAGCTATTTTTTCCCTCCCTTGGAAAGGAGTAAGACACGTCTTTCACTGAGAGGAAACAAGAGATTATAGGGTGGAGTGTCTCCAGAGCAGAGACGAGCCTTTGTGTGTTTCTTTAGGAGGAGGAAGGGGCAAGGAAGAGAAAAGAAAGCCAACGCAAAGATGAAGAAAGGAAAACTTAATCACAACTGTGTCCTCCCAGCCTGTCTGTCCGTCTCAAGCTATATCTGTCTGGGTGGACTGCATAGGGAGGTAACAGTCCACGTGCAACATCAAAGAGAAAGGATAATACTTCCCGTTGCTCTGACCTGAACCCAAGCATCCCCGCCCCTTAGTACAGGACTGATATAAATGGTTTTGTTGCTTCAGGGGAGAAATCCCTAACAGGGAATTTTGCTAGAAAACCAAGTGATATTCAGATACGTCTATGTGGGATGAGCGCACAGCCTAGTAGTAGAGCATTTGTCTTGCACCCCTCAGTCCTTGGATTCAATCTCCAGCACTGTAAAAAAAAAAAAATCAAGAAATGTTGACACTGTGAGGGTGAAGTGAGAATACTGAGGTTGCCTGCCTCCTGGGCTAGTAGCCAGATGTTTCTTCCAGCACCCACACTGACTGCAACATTCCGTGCTGACTGGCATTTGGCCATTCCTAACTTTCCTGCTATTCACATATGTTTTAGACCTCACATCTTTATTAGACATGATAACTAGCCACCATCAGATCAAGCCTGTCTAATTTCACCACTAACGATGCACACCATATATATCACAACGGAACACACACGTGCATGCGTGCGTGCGTGGGTGCATGCGTGCATACTGTTCGTGCCACTTGACTCCCATTTCTGTGAAATATTTAGAAATCCGACTCGTACTTGCTTAAACTAAAGCAAAGACGGACTTGGGAACACCGGAAGTTGTGATGGAATTTTTCCCCCTGGCATGATGTCATTTCCTGAGGGGGGACATTTCAGAATATATTTGGGGACCTTGCTTTTCTAACCTTGGAGATGTTGGAGGAGTCCACATCCAAGGATGTGATGGGCTGTCAGCGTGCAGAACATGCCACTCAATGGAGATAAAAATCTTACCTAGGGTGTCTGTGGTCCTGTCTGAGGCACCCTAACCAGATGGTCAAAGCACTTCACCAGCAGCCTCCTGTCTCAGCTTAGCTGTGCATAGGTGATGGTTCTATCCTCATGATTGCTGTAGCTCCAAGGACAGATATCCGTCCCTACTAAAATGAGAAGACAAATGGACTCTATTGCTTAGCATTAGCTCAGGACAACCCACTTGCAAATCCTACAAAATAGAAGGGTACAGGCTGGGCTTCCCAGCCAGAGGTCATGATCATCAGCCTTACCAAATTTAGAGGCACTGAGAGGAATGGATGAGGCTTCCAGAAGACCCTTCACCATGATAGAGCTAAGAGTTAAGTAGAATGGGCCGGGGGAAATAACACACATCCACTTGTGGACAACTCCGGGTCTTCTCTTGGGTTATTTTACATGCCCAGGTCCTCTCAAAGACCAGAGATTTTACACACTTGGTTCCCTTGTATCAATCAGATGCCTTTTCTTTGATATGTTCTTTGTGCTTTGTGAAGTTCTACGTATATTTTAAGAAGCACGTATCTCCTCTCTGTGAAGCTTCCCAGTTACGTGCCCCTACAAAAACCCCTTCCTCTGCGCACTCATAGCTTTTTGTGCTTATATACACAGAAGGAATTGAACTAATTAGCACACATAAGAGGCTGCGTAATCCACATCCTTTTGGAAATGGGAAGCACATGATGTCAGATGAAACAAGATCCGACAACAGAGAATTAGTACTATTTACTGAGTGTACACAATGTGAGAGGTCTCCAAGCAGAACCTCTGGTGAGTGTTGGTTGAGAATAATATGTTTGAAGATCTCGGTCCCTTGAAGCTTATCTATTTCAACCACTTCCTTACTTAGATCAGGAAACTGAGGCTGAAGTGGGTTTCTTTCCAGCTCTGACAGTAAATGGTCTGAGCCACCAAAAGGAAGGACAGATTGACCCAATTCTTGGCTGAGAAACCACAGCTATGCAGCTTAAACTTCCTGTTTTAAAAGCTACGGCAGGAAAAAGTTGTGGTCTATATTGCCATGACTCAAACTCTCTCTCTCCCTCTCCCTTTCCTCTCTCTCTCCATCTCCTTCTCCCCCTTCTCTGCCCCCTCTGCTTCTCTCTACCCTTCCCCCTCCTTCCCTCTTCCCCACACCCCTTCCCGGACCCCCCGGCATCAGAACTGTGATTCACACTCTTTGCTCTGCATTGCTCTTGGGCCCACAAAAGTGTGCCATTTGTGACTCACTGCTGAGTGAAGGGACATAATAAATCTTGCTCAGAATCCAAAACATGCAAACAGACTGTCATGGGAACTATGGGGACTTAAAGCAAAGGGATAAAAGTGACTCTTTGTGACAAACATCCTTCTATTTTTATGACAGTATCTACATAGACATTCTCTCTGGAGCAGGTCAGAATTGTCCAGGAATAGCAGAACTGCATGAACCCTGTGGTATTCAAACTGGAAACTGAAGACTTCTTTGGACTGCTGCCAGGTAATACTCAAGCCCAAACATGTAGGAATGGCCCCAAAAGTTATTTTATGAAAATCCACGAGCCCCTCCGTTCTACTGTGTCAGTCATGTGTGGATTCTGCCCTGTCTCCACATTTAGTTTCTCATAAGGCCCAGCCACACTCATCACCCTCCTCTCTACTTCCTGGTACTATAGCATGTATCCGTGTCTTTTTCAGAGATGCTACCTTGGCAGTACCTGCACCCACACTGTAGCATTTAGCCCTTTATTAACTGTGCCAGACCATCCTAGTTTGGATGAATGGATAGCAGGGTTTGCCCCAAGTGTGAGCTGAATGTGAGTTAGCATACACTGTTGTGAGTGTGTCTAACAATCCACAACTGAACTGACCTGGCGGATACTGTGAAGAGGAAAGAAAGCTGACATGGTAAGAAGTGCCAGGGAGTGGACGTAGAGACAACATTGTCGTATCTGGGGAAATATACTCTTAGAAGTCGATGTGGAGACATGAGTAATAAGGAGGCAACCTCTGGGAACATCTGGGGATTGTCTACTCAAATAGGAGAAAGAAGGAAACTTCTTGACTCGTGAGAGAAAGTCATATGAAGAGGCACCTTGGAAAGAGGATATGCTGTTCTTCCAGGTAGCAGGAGAGGGGAAGGGAAGTCTTCTCCTGACCCCGGCTCACAGAGGGCAGTGCTTTCCAGATTAACAATTTTCTAGTTGTGCGAGTTACATGGAACACTCAAATGTTTCTAATCTCTATGTATGTTACTTTTGTGTGTGTATATATATATATATATATATATATATATATATATATATAGTGAGTGATTGTGTGTGTGTGTGTGTGTGTGTGTGTGTGTGTGTGTGCAAATAGAGGCCCAAGGTCAATACTGGGTGGGTGGCTTCCTCTATCACTCTTCACCTTCTATTTTGAGCCAGGGTCTCTCATTTAATCTAGCACTTCTGATTTAGGAAGACTTCTAGGCCTATGAGCTTGAGAAATCTTTCTGTCTCTGCCTCACCAGTGCTGAGATCACAGACACCTGTCACCATGTCTGGCTTTTCTGACCTGGCTGCCAGAGATCTGAACTCAGATCCTCACATTTACAGGACAATCCGGTTACTGATTGAGCCTCCCTGGCTTAGTTTATACTACTACCACTAACAGCCCCGTCTGCTCCACAGAGCTCTTGGATAGGTTACACACAAAAATAAGTTATCAACGACAAGACTGTGCAAAATGAATTAGTATGTTATTTGTTTGAGAAACATATTGAATTAATGAAATTCCTTAGTCCTGACAAGCTTTTCTTGCAAAACAACAAAACCAAAACTCCACATAAATTCATCAGTGATGAAAATTGAAAGAGGAACTCAAATTTTATCTACTCCCCAACCCAGAAAATTCTACAATAACAGTCACCCAAGAAAACCCTGTGTCAAGGGCCCCTGTCTTCCCAGTTCGTTTGCTGATGGCTACAGGTTCATTATTTCCTAACTGTCTTTTCTAATGACTCTTGATTTGCTACAGTCACAATTTTTATCCAGAAGGTGGCTTATTGTCTCAAACTCAGATTTTAATGGTATGAAAAAAATCATTAAAAAATTATGTGAGAGAGTCTACAGTTTGCTGACTTGATTCAGGGAATGGTAAATTGCTGCTAAGAGCTAAGAATGTGGTTTTTTTAAAAAACATTTTTAAAATGGTTGATAAAAAAGTCTAGGGAGTAATAGCATTCTGGGACAGAGGCACATTGTAAGACATTCAAGTTTCAGTGGCCATAAGTAAAGCCCCATTGTAACCTATATTCACTTTCTCTTTCTTTTTCTCTTTCTGTGAGCCACTAAAGGGTTACAGGCTTCAAGGGCAGGAATTGTGAGCTAGCCATGACCTTCAGAGCCTAAAATACGAAATTACTGGTCCCTCACAAGAAGACTTTGTTCAATCTCATTTCATTCCTGAATTTAGATTACATGTTGGTCATGAGATCACTTCTAGGCTGGTGTTAGTGAGTTAAGAAAACCTGGTCCCTGACCCCAAGAAAATAGCATCCATTACCTATAAAGACAAGTAGCCAAGTTATCACAAGACCATGTTCTGCCTGGGAAGACAGAGAGGGAGAAGGAGTTGTGAGGGTTGAGCCTCTAGCTCTGGCAAGCTGAGGTCGACCAGTTGGCCGGTGGTTGTATTAGTTACATATCATTGCTGTGATAAAATCCCTCAGAAAAACATCCTCAAGGAGAAGGATCTTACTTTGTCTCATGAGTTGAAGGTCTGGTCAGTCCGTTGTTGTGGGAGAGGAGTGGCGACGATAGGAGCTCTTGATTCTGGCCACAGAAGCAGGGGTTGCTACTCACATTATATCCACAGCTGGGAAACAGAGGGAGATCAAAATTGGTGTTCAGTCCACCTTCTCCTTTATATTCAGTCCAAGACTCCACAGGAGCAGTTCAACCCACACTCAGGGTAAGGCTTCTTTCCTCAGTTAAACCTCTCTGGAAACATCCTCACAGATGTGACCAGAAGTGTGTCTCCTAAGCGACTCCACATCATTCAAGTTAACAAAGGAGAATAACCACCACAATGGTTCAGCTGCCACCCTTCTGCACATACACACCTTCTTCTACCTTGAACTCCCTGTACACTCCTCCTAGGGTCTTGATGATGCTGTGGAGCAGGGGCAGCATGTATGAGACATAGCTTCTGGAAGAACGATCACCTTCTTACAGCTCTGAGGCCTTATTTTGAACCTTGGATATGTCTCTCTGTGACTGGCTACCACCATCTGTGAAGCTCTTCAGAAGATGCCCAACACCTGTTTCTATATAGCTACAACTGCTCATTTGCATGTACTCATCCTTTGCATTTGTGGTCCCCAGAAGATTGGTCCTCTAAGCATCTCCTGCCTCTCCTCCAGTGCTTCTCTATAAACATTTCCAATGAGGCTGTCATCTTTAGATGATGTACCCCAGGAGAGCAGATGTTTCTCTGCCTGTCATGCTATAAAAAAGTATTCTGAGCTTCTGACATTGGACAGAAACCAGGAAGAGGGGGATAAGGTGACCATTACTGATGTGTGATCTGAAGGGATACCCATAATACAACAAGCTGATGAATACATTTTACTGCAATATTTAGAAAACTGAAACCAGTACAAATTTAAACCAAAAGGAAAACCTATCCAGGAGGAACCTTGTATTTGAGGACCAAGTGAAGACGTAGAAGACAGAGAAAACCCTTCTTTCATAAACAGTTATGCAAGAAACCTACATGTAGTGAGAGCATTCTTGAAGCTGGATCCATGTGGAGTTTTGGAAGGAGCATGTCAATGTGAACAAGATAGAGGGTTCTGCTTTGAGTTGCCTCGCCTTGTACGTCTTTAGAAATCACTCCTTTCCCCAGGGCTTCAGTTTCCTCTCTATAAACGAAAGAAGATGAAGCAAATGATATCATGGGTTTATCCTTGATATGTGACTGCTTTGTATACATACCTTTGTACAGAGAATTCCACTTGGAACTGTGCAGCAAACACACACAACGAACGGATGTGGGTCCTGCTGCTACAGCCAGCCAAGGTGTGACACCAGATATTGCACAACCCTCTTTGATGCAATGCTCTTGTTTGGGGTTTGGGGGCGTGGTTGGGAACTGCCTGCAAGCCATTTTAGTCATTGGGACATGAGCTCATCATTTCCAGACAAGAAGCTTCTGAAACCATTTAGTCTGCCTTGACTGCGAGGTGTTGGAGAAGAGGCTGGCCGTGGAGTAGCTGTGGGGTTGACAGATGTTTCCCAATGGGAGCCTCCACTCTGCTTGCACCATCCTGTTGCAGTCTGAAACCCATGCCCTGCATCCAGCTGGCAAGCCCTAGCCCATGCAAACAAATGTGTTTAAAGATAGACTGCTCATTTTATGGCTGGTGTATGTTGAAACAGGACTCCCTGGCTTCCCATGAGGCCTAAAGGCACAGTCTGAAGTTTTCATCACAGATAAGACTATTTCAAGGGGCAAATACGGACACCCCGTATCTGTTTATATGACCTAAGGACATTGCATTTGCTACACCAAAAACGACATTTTCAGACCTGCTGTCTGCTCCCGAATTTAAGTTCCTCAAAGGTGGCAAATGAATGCAATTCTTTCCTGCACTCATATGTGTCATACATTACAGGAACAAAACATAGCTGGAGCTCTGGATTGTCGAAATTAATCTGAGGTCGTGCAGTCATAGAATATTTTCTTAGTGGAAGAAAATGAAATGGGGTAAAATGCATCTTGTTTTTTAGTTTTAAGTGCTAAACTTCTGAACAAATAAATACTAGGCTATCACCTGGTCCTAGGTAGGGCATTCCCCTCTTTTGAAGGGTCAAGGGAATGTGGGTGTAACTTCTGAAAAATTTAAAACTATTTTTTTCTTTTCTTTTCTTTTTTTCTTTTTTTTTAAACCTTTGCAGTAAAAATACATGGATTTCTACAAAGAAACAAACGTCTAGGCAGAACCAAATGAGCAAAGGAGAGTCTTCATGTAAGTCCTATACATCGATGACCCTAAGCAAAGGACAACTGCTTCTCAGTCTTCTCACCCAACAAAACAGAAAGAATTGTTTCATTCTACAATTCCATAACTGCATGTTGGTAAAAATTTAGTGGGAAGTGACTGAGAGGGCCTGAGATACATGGCTCATTTTTAAAATAAGAATCTGAGAAGGGAGCAGATGAGTAATATGTCTAAATGCATGCCACATTCTCATCCTTAATGGCCCTTTCTGTCATAGCTTTCTTTCAGTCCCAAATAGAAGCAAGTGAGGGGCCAGATGACCTGCTGAGGCTTGCTGCATGACCTGGAGGTGAAAGGGATGGCATTTTCCTTAGAAACAATTAAGGAGTTTCCCAAACAAGCAACCCACTAAATTACACAATCCATATTTCTCTTCCAATCTTCCCATTCTGATTTCAGTGATTCATAATTTTAGAATCACCTTTTCCTAGCACTCCCTAGGGGACGATAGCATTAACTTTGGAATAGTAAACTGCTGTGGTTTGGATCGCAAATGTTCCCCAAATGCCCAGGTATTAATGTCTTGGTCCCTGGCCTCTGAAGCTATTGGGAGGTGGGAGCCTCAGAAGGTGGAGGTTAATGGAAGTTAGGCTATTGGGGATGTGTCTTTGAAAGGGATACAGGGACTCATTCTTGTCTTACTCTTGGCTTCCAAGCTGACATGACGAAAGAGAATTGGTTTGCTGTGGGATCCTGCCATGATGTGCTACTTTTCTTCAGATTTGAAACAGCAGAGCCAATGGGTCGACACTGGACAAAGACTTCAACACTGTGAGAGAGAAAACAAAAACAAAAACAAGAAGAACAAAAAAACAAAAACAAACAAACAAAAAAAAAACACCCTTTCCTACCTTCAGCAGTTCACTTTGAGAATGATTGGCAGCTGGATCCATCCATGTCAAAGCAATCTCAACCTAAAGAGTTTCCTTTCTCTCGTCCTTCCTTCCCCCCTCTCCCCTCCCTTCCCTTCTCTTCCCCGTCTTTCCCACCTTCCTCCTTCCCTCCTTTGCTTCCTCCCTCCCTTCCTCCCTTCCTCCCTCCTTTGTATAGCATATGTATCAATTAGATGGATGAACTCTACACTGTTTCAGTTCATAGAGCTCCCTTAGGACTAGAAATGATTTGCATATTAGCTTAAAATATGACTGATTCATGGATGAACTTGTGTTTCCTATAGGATGTATACTCCAAAGGATGAATTCCTAACAAAGAATGGTAGTTCCATGAAGAACACTAACTCATAGACTCTCTCCACTGTCCTTCTCCTGGCTAGATGTGAAGCCATGGCTCTGCCCATATCCTCAGGTAAGTGTGATGGATCCTTTCCCCATTGATGACCCAGGAAGGCAAGGAAATGAAGAGGGAGCCTTTGGCACCCGGCATGCTTAGAAACATACATGGAATTGGATCTCTCATGCTGTGACTTGGTTCAGTAGAACAGACTTCACTGTGAAAGATTATCAGCAAGCCCAGTCCCCTTTGTCTATAGCTTCATAGTGGCTTGCTTATTCATAACCCTCCCCGTTCTGAAAAGGCAAGGCCCAGTGTTGAAAACATTCACCTCGTACTTGCAGGCATCTTGTCCCACTGCCTACAGCCTCCTATGGCTTTCTCTGCATCCCCCTTTAAACAAAGTACAGGTCTTGACTGGTACCCACAATGCCTCTGATCCTGCTTTTTTCCTCTCCAGCCTATCTTGCTTTCTACGTGTTGAACCCACAGCTCTGCTCCTGTCCTGGGAGTCCTCAGGCTTCCTACAGTGTACATCCTCATGTTGGCTCCCTCACCCTGAACACTGTGTAGCTCGCTCCGTCACAGCCTTTACCTCAACACTCCAGTGACCATTCTCACCCACTTGCCTCATACCCCTAGTGCCACGAGTCTCTCATTAACTCTGCATTATTTTCCTTACATGCCACCACCCGCTGTCATGTATTTATATCTGTTTGTTCTTTTTCCCCCATCACAAGAATAAAATCATCTTGGGAGCAGGGCTGTTTGCTCTCTCCACAGCCTTATCTTTAGCTCCTGAACTCTCCTGATATAGCAGTTTCTCAATTGTTTTAAGTAGATGACTTTGATGTCAAGGCTTAAAGAGGAGTCATCAAGTGGAGAATATCAGTAGCGTTGGAGGAATCAGTCCACTTTCCTCAAATCCCACCTCTCCAAGTCCCATGTCTCAAGTCCCAGACTGCCATTCTTCCTATTAAGCACATATCAGGTCAAGCCTCCACTGCCTGTCAGAAAGAGTGACCTCTACTTGAATAGAGAAGACTTGTGTTTAAAATAACTAGGGTCACAGCCTTCCCTGGACCTTCTTCCTTCCTGTAAGGCCCGAGGTTGTTCCCATAGCCATTCCCGGGGGAATGTGCCGTGTATCCGAGGGTCCCTGGGAAGCCAAGGGCTCACATTCCTAAGGGCATGTGAGGAGCGCAGTCCCAGGGTCTGTCCTTCCTGGCCAGAGGAAGTGACTGCCTAGTTGATATTTCGAGAAGGATGGGTCATGGGAGTTATGTCACTGCCTGGCTCTGGCTGCTGCTGGCTGCTGCTGGGACATTATTGGCAAGAAGCACTATGGGCAGAGCTCACTGTCAGTCTGTGGTGGGTTCCAGCCAGAGTCCTTTCCCTGTTCCAGGACCACTCTGGCCTCCTTAAGGCCCTGGTTCACTCATTCAATGGCTACGCCGCAGTCCTTACCGACTCAGCTCCATATTGGGAGAGTACCCTGGTACTACTATTTATTTATGAACAGTAGTGACTTGATGCCTGTCTCTAACAGCTTGACAAACACACAACACAACACAACACAACACAACAACCGTGACAGAAAGTCATGTCTGGAATGCTCCCTGGGATACAGAATACACGAGAATCAGAAGTTGCAGGCTGGATACCGGGTCCCAGAGGCCGCAATCTGATTCTTGCCCATCTTCCTCTACAGATGGTGAGTTAAGCTCAGTGACCCTCCCATTTGCTGACCCAGAAGTGTGAGCTGATGATGCAGCAAGGGTGCAGCTGTGCCTGCTTGGTAGACGTAGACTGTGTCCAGTTTGACTCAAGGGACACCTTTCTCTGCAGGTCCCAAAGTGGGCAAAGATTCCTAGCCTAAGAGAATGACGTCAACACTCGATTCCCGTTTGCTGCTACTGCTTGGGGAGGGAGTGTAGCCTCGATGGAGGAAACATATCCTGAGAGGAAGGCTTCCAAAGGCTGGGGAGTTCCTAGCCTCCCCTCACTTCTGATTTGTTCTCTCTGTTTCCTATTTGTCAGCGAGAGTGTGATCTTCCAACTTCCTGCTGCCGCTGCCACCATGCCTGCGGCTTTACCATGTTTCACCTGCTTATCCATCTGGAATCACAAGTCCCAAGAAAGTCTCTCTTCTGTACCTTGTTTTTGGCCATGGTGCTTTAGCGAAGCAATAGGAAAGTAATTAAGCACTTTCCCATGATCGCCCACCCTTGATAGACAGACCTTCCAAAGAGCTAGTTAGCCTAGGGAACGGCAGTAACTGTGTTGTTTATCTGAGAGTCCCCGGCCTTGGAAGGCACAGGCGCCTTCTCCCCACTGCCAAGTCCAAGCCCCACATGCTAGAGACAAGGAGGCTCTGCAGGATGGCAAGGCAGTCCCAACCAGCTGCTCGACCAGCTGCTAGAGCAAAGAGCTTTCAATGTACACACATGCCTGGGCTTCCCTCATTTCCCTAGAGTCTGTACTTTTGTTCCTGTCCCTAAGAACATTGGGGGAGGGGGTTGAGGAAAACCAAGAGCCTTAGGAAGTAGCAATGGCTCCTGCCAAAGACTGTTACAGAAGAAGAAAGGGCTTCCGTCATCTTTCCCTTCTTTTCTGAGCTTTATTGGAGTGCGGAACAGAGTCACCTTTGGCTCCCCATTGTGAGAGAACTGCAGTTTAAGCTGCCGATTATGCGGTGCTGAATGGGACAGGATTATTGTTCATTTGATTGCAAACTCCTAGAGGGAAGGTTTAGATGAGGCATTAAACCTCAGGAGCTCGTGATGTGACCTCAAGCCATGGCACCAGCGATACCCAGTCTAGCAGGGAGACGCGACAGAGCAAGACATTGATGGGAGCAAGTGTTGACAAGCTAGATGATCTATATTGCCCCGTGTCTCCTCTGTGTGTACATGTCTTTGCAAGGCTGAGTTTCCAGCAGCTTCTTCAGAAGTATGCCACAATTTCTAACCCTTCAGGCCTGCATCGCGAGGAGTTTACTTCGGTCTACAGAGTGTAGCTGAAGGCTGACGGCACTCTTAAAAGCCCCTTTTTAGTTCTATGAAGTTGGAGACAGTCACATGAGGGTCATGGTGTTTATTTCTACCATATTTATGGGTCAGTGAGTTGTCCAGATGGGAAATAAAAACAGATTTGTTTTAAGTTTGGTAATTTGTTTTGGGCCACCTGGGGCTTTGTGCGGAGTCTGGAGTCATATGTCAACTCAGCTGGAAGAGGTGTTGGCATTCAGTGATGCTGGCCATGGATAGGTGGAAGAACCGGAGGAAAATAGGGCCTGAGAGTCAATGGGTTGCCATGCCTGGCTTGCTGTGATCACACTAGATTAAACTCAAGAGTTATAAAGATGCGGAAAGCTGATGCATGGCATGGTGATGATAGAGAAACATATTGAGGAAGCCCTGCACAGTGTAACTAGGCAGCGACGTGAACTCTCAGAAGTTAGAATTCTCTAATAACCATGAGTCCAGGCCATAGCTTGTCCACATGATACTTAGAATAGAGCTGCATCATCACTTTAGCTGTGGTACTCAGAGAGAATGTGTACTCTGGTCCTCAGACACCTTTTAAGGTGAGGGGATGGCAGGTTTCTGTTGGTCAGTATTCAGATCTATCATGTACACATATGCTCTTCCTGAGAACAGGTCTGCCCCAACCAGTGTGGGCTACTGTGTTCTCTCCCACCAGCCTTCTATAACTGCCATCCCCTCAAAACCAAAACACGCACTTTCTGAACCATTTTATGGTTCATTTTCCTCAAGTATAAAAATATTCCCAATCAACACAAAAGGATTTAAAAATACATCTCTCCAAAGGGAGAACCATTTTAGACAACACAAAAGAGAATCTAGCTAAGTGACAAACTTATGGAATTTAGGGACCCTACTGATGGCTAGCACTGACAGTTCTCTCATCTCTGTTCCTGTCTCTCTCTTACCATTTACCTACCTATCATTTATATCTATCATTTATCTATCAAGTGTTCCAGTCTGTTATCTATCTTTTCATCCTCTATCTGTCTATCAGTCATTACTCTATGTATGTTTGCAAGTATGTATGTATATATGCCAATCTACTACCTATGTATGTAGGTGTTAACTAGCTAACTATCATTTATATGTGTATTTCTATCTATCATCTATCTATCATCTATCTAACATGTCTATCTATCTATCTATCATCTATCTAACATGTCTATCTATCTATCATCTCTCTAACATGTCTATCATCCATCTATATATCTATTTAGCTATCATCCATCTATCTATATCTATCTATTTTCCATCTCTTTGTCTATTTTCCTCATATTAACTAACAATTCAAAATACACTTGATAGAAATGAATATGACCATACAGGCCAATGTCTGGTATGGATGTGTCTGGAAGTCAAACGTGGCTTTCCCTCCTTTGCATACACAAAGGTGGCTTCTGCTGCTGGTACAGAGGGTAGGATACCTGCTCCTGCTCAGACAGGTGGCAGAGTTGTGAAGTATGGCTGGGACTTGTTGGAAACATATTCACAACAGAGAGACAATCTGAGTCTTTTAGAACATGTGGCGGCCATCTGTAGGAATGGACACCCTTGGCATTAGAGGAAATCTAGAGAATGAATTAGTTGTAAAGACAATAAGAATTGATCTAAGCAGCTCATAAAGGCGTCAGTTACTGTACTAGCCCAGTGAAGGACAAATAAACATCATGTCTGGGGCTGGATGAAGTCTTGCTTCTTTGTTCCACCCATGAGGTTCCAGTCTTTGTGAACACAAAGCCAAACAAGCCACCAAAGGGAAGCCACCAACTTCATTGTCACTGATACTGATAACCGACTTGGCAGTGATGCTGATGGCATGTTGCGTTTGGACATGGTTATACATCCTTCACAATAAGTGTGTTTTTCACCATCACTCTATGTCAGGAAGGATATTTCCACCTTATGAATGCAGAACCCGGACTCAGAGACACAGTGCACGCTAGGACACTGTGCAACCTCACATATTAATGGGCCGAGTGCCCAAAGCCAAAGACAGCCAGTGGCAGAAGCTCTGAACTCATTCCGACCTCTACTCCAAAGCCCTTCTTATTTATTTTTTTTAATGGAATCAGATATTCTGTTTTTGTTCATAATGCCATTTTTATTGAAAAGTGATGTGAACATGAGGTTTGAAGAGAAATGATAGTTGTTGAATCTTCCTAGGCCTCATGTAAGCACCACGTAAGAGAGGTTGTGAAATATTGAACTCCTTTTACATAAAGAAAGAATGATATGGAGGTGGGAACAAAAGAAGGCTCAGGGTGTTGACAAGG